AACCAATTACATCCATAAGAAAGGAACGTGTGGGAGGACCAGGGCACATGGCGCCGCTAAGGGGCCCAAAGCGAGGGCACCATGCAGACCCCACGAAGTCACAGCTCCTGATGGTGATGTGGGAAGCACTTCAAGCGTGCCCTGCCGCCCCACGGCTAGACCAGCCCCTGGAAATGGAATTCTCTCTATGCTTCCCACTCCCTCATGCTGCAAACCTGCAACCCTTCCCCAGAAGCCACCAGTGGAGAGGCTCCATTTTACAACGAAACAATTCAATTACAGCACTGCTTCAGTTTTCTGCAGTTCATGTTCAGGCAATTAAAGAACCAGAAATAATCTGCCGCCCTCAAGGAGACACAGTTCACCTGCCAGCACCGCCCTTCCACAGAAGCTGTTAACCTTGGGACAGCAAAAGCACTTTCTCTCAAGTTCCTGTCTGCAAGGACAGGCAAGAAATTCAACAGGAAATTACATTTTAGAGGGAAGAGTCACAAGGGACTCCTGACTCTTGGGTGGAGGGATGAAAACCGTCTAGCTGTGACGCCGCACTTCACGTCCCACTTCACTCCTTTACTCCCAGCTTTCTTCACGTTTATGTGCTAGCCGAGCGGGTTAATGGCCTGAACCTCACTGAAGTGGGCTGTGGACAGCTGTTACATCGCTGCACAACGGTCTCTTTGCAATCTGCTTCTCACCCAGCAAGGACTAAGCCAGAAACGAGAGCAGCCCCACGGCGAGCGCTGGGGAAGCCCAGCCGTGGCCGATGGCCGCGCTGCAGCAGGCACCGCACAGCGACCGAGCCACCTCTTGCTCAGCGATAGACCTCGCTTCAGAGCCGTGTCCACTGTAAAAAGCAGCAGCAACATTTAAGATAGAAGCTTTTTGTGTTGTCAGAAAGAGGATTACTGGACTAAGGTGAAGCAAGAGAGAGAAGAATGAGGATTCCTCTAAATAAAGCCAGCACAGAGCAGGAACAGCAGCCCCAGAAATAGGTGCCCTGCGATTTACTCAAGTGATACAACATACCAGAACACTAACTAAAGTATTTTTAACTGAGGAAATGAAACCAGGGGGAACTTGCCCATGCCAGAGGGTGCCACACTGCAGCGTGCAGGGTTGCAGAACAGCCTGTGCTGAGGTGGTGAACTTCACTTCGGGGTAATGCTCAGTCAGAACATGCATTGTCCTCCATACCTTGGATCCTTCCTGCTTCTCCTCCGAAATTCCTTGATGTTCTCCTGAAAGGCTGGAAACCGCAGAGCGTTTTGCCCTGGAGTCTCCATCACTACTGAGCTAGGGAAGAAAAGCATGGAAAGTGAGAAATTGGTTTTGAAATCTCCCTGTGGGAAGGCAGTCCCTCCAAAACAGCAAAGCGAAGGCTCCACGAGGTACGCGGGTCCCAGTTTGGGGTGACTGCTGCAGCTCCAGCTGCCGAGGCAGAAACAGAGACGGAGCGGAGGCTGCCAGCCACGGCCTCTCAGGAATGCTGCCAGGGATCCAGAGGAGTTCAACTTACTCTTTGGGGTTTAAGGGTTTATTCACATCACAGAGCAGGGGGCAGGTCATAAGCAGCGACACAGTCAAACCCCGCTCCACCAGTGCCCCTGGCACAGCCGATGCCCGCGGGGCCAGAACCACGGACGTCGAATGGGTTATACCAAAATCACGGCAGTCAGGTTTGGTTCCTTTGGATCCCAAGTGTAGCTTCTGCACTGTAAGAAAGGAACTTTTAAGCACAAATGACCAGTCCCACTCACTCTCCCCAGCAGACGATGGCAACTCCTTCCAACTGCATGTGAAGGTTCGGTTCTTCACTAAGATCCCAGCCGGTTTTTGAGAGGGGTAATTAGCATTCAGTCTTGAAACGGTGACCTACTGCTAAAACCAGTGCAACACCAGCGGCAGAGGCCTGCCACAAAACCAACCGCAACCCCAGTGCGGCTGGAGGAGGTTCCCACTGGGACACTGCAGACCCAAGGGATGGAGCCGCCTGTCCCAGTCCACGTGAGCATCACCAGGTTGACCATGTGCCAGCCCACATGCCTAGAAAAGGCTCTACACACGTTTTTGGGGAGAAGTTGCACTTGCCACAGCGTACTGGAGTACCAAAGCACACATGGGGCACCCCGTTTCTCTGCGGGGACATCCCTTATCCCACGCTTGGCCACAGCAGAAAGCACGAGTGCCACAGAAGAGCCTTTTCCACCCAAAATGCACAGTCCGTTTCTACACGTAAGCCCTAAAAAAAACCCAAGTCACACCAGTGTTCAAACATAATATTTTTATTTGTGGATAAAAATTAAGGCTCACAGTACTTTATCATTTCACAAGCAGAAAAATGTTAAAAATTGAGAATGACGGGGAATGCCCCCAATACAAATTCCTCTAACTGCTGACATGTTTTACTGAAGACTCCAGGTGAACAATTGTACAGGGCAGCTACAGTTATTAGTTTGTAAACTAGGTGCTAAATGTAACTTTTTTTTTTTTAAAGAAATGTGAACAGGGCATTATCTTTCTCTCCACTTCTGGCTGTCCGATACACATGGATTCCATAAAAACACTCGAGAACCGCTGGGATGGTAACACCAACCTTCCTAAGAACAACCCAACCACATCTACAACGCATGGCACAGGGGGAAGAGCGCTCAGGATCACAGATTTCATTTCCATAAGACATTTTTAGTATAGTGCAATAGTTCACGCCTAAAATTTTCAATATTCAACTTCCTGGCTTTAAATAAAGAAACCAATGTATGTTCCTCCAGAGCACGGGAATTGCTGCCACGCTCCGTTTCCTCGCGGACAGGAAAGCAACCCAGGTGAAGAACAGATGGTAAAAGTGTACGTCAGACCCCAGTATACACACCGCATACACCACGCCTATAGCCAAGAGGCAATAGGAATCAAAGATTTCTGCCCGGGTACGCTGCCAGTTTGTGGTCCAGAGGCACAACAGTTACTGCAACCCCCAACCCCACAGGCATCACCATCAGCACCCAAGTTTTCCACCCGCAGCCAGGTTTTCTTGCGAGTTACATCGTAACTACGGGACTACATACCGCAGATTTATTTACACGGAGACCAACCAAGCGTCTCAGCCAAAGCTGAGACAGGTCTGGGTTTCAGAGGTGCTCTATACTGCGTTATTTTTTAGCAATTCCTTCTGTTTTGCCTATTTGCTGTCAAGGCAACACACACTGGCAGCAGGAGCAGCAAGAGCAAGCCCACTTACGATAAGCAGCAACTGCAAGAGCATTCAAAGGCTGAAGGATTTCTGCAGCACAACGATTCATTCCTTGTCGTTGCACCCTCTACGTCTGAGATGCCAACAGAGTAATGAAAACAACAGTCCTCATCGCTTCCTGACGAGAAGTTCAAGCGTACTCCATGCCCCTTGTTTCGTTAGGGAGCTCTAAGAGAAGCTACAGAGAACGCTCGATTTCGGCAGAACCCACGCTGCAACACTCTGCCGCGGCAAACGCGGCTCGACAGCGCTTTGGGCCAACAGCTCCTACACATCACAGTCCAGTAATAAAAGAAATTCTGTACTGGTAATACTTCACTTAGTAATAAAAGAAATTCTGTACTGGTGAATTCTTCACTTCTTAAGTGAAGAAGAAATTCTTCACTTAAACCACAAAAAGCTCATCCAAAGGGCTCAGAGGTTGTGACTGATGTGGGTGAGGACTACCACCTCCATTTGATAAAGGGGGTGACGGAGGTGTGGATTAAGATCAGTTTGCCCGAGCCTCAACACCCACCAGGACAGGGCTGCGAGGGGGAGGCAGCATTCCCGACTCCAACCACTGCTCTGCTGCTCTCCTGTGTGCCTGTCCCCACAAAGGGTCCCAAAGAGCGGGGGCTGTAACACGCCATACCCCCCCTCCAGTGAAAAACCACCACTCGGTGACACAGGCAAAACAGAGAATTTACACAAGTTGCCATTTCCTATAAGCAGAAATTAAATTTCCATGATGTGTAGGCAGTCAACAGAACAACAGGAAAACGTGTGCAACGGAAAGAACACAAAACAAACACTTCCAACCTTATTTCCAGTTCACAAATCTATGCAAGTGGAAAGAAGCAGCTACACCCATGAAATACTCCATGTTACCAAAGAGTGTAAAGCAAGTATGTTACCCCGTAATACCACGGTCATCTTGCAGTTGAATGAAATGCAAACGCTTAAATTAACAAAAGGGGTAAGAGGGATGAGCCTGGATACAGTTACGGTTCCACCGGCGGGGGTACCGGCAGGCACCCAGCAAGGGGGGATGCAGCTTACTTCACTGACAGCAATGGCAGGACAGGCTCAAGGTTCCCAGGTGGAAGGGAAGAGCTTTGCTCGATACACCAGAAAAACACCGGAAAAGGTGTCCAAGGTAACCATCGCCCAAATTATTGCTGACAACTACATAAACAGCAGAGTCTGAATGACGGGAGGGAGCCACACGGATGGGGAAGGCACCTCCGAGGCCATGACTCCACACTAACGACTACAACGATCTTAAAGATCAAGCTAAGTACAATACATACCAAAAATAAATTCCTGTGAAAGCAAACACATGGAAAATAAACTGTCACCAGGTACAAGGAAAGCACATCGGCAGCAGGCTGCGAAGGGACCACAGCGCAAGCGGAGGACAGGAACAGGATTCCAGATCCAGCAGCTCTGGTCCAAGAGCCTTCCAAACTGCACTCCCGTTCTTAGGCTTCAGTCCGTCCCCAGAAGCACACAGAGCTACTTCCACATCTGGAATTCAGGAGACGCAAACATGCAGTAAGTGCACACTACAGCCCAGCTGGTGCCAACACGTCACCTGCCGAGCGATGCAAGGGGGAGCAGGCATGGACAGACAGAGGTAATTCCATAGGATCTGAGCACTGCTCTTCTGCAGCTCAACGTTATTGCCATTAATACGTCAAACAATACAGAACAGGCTGAAGAGCATAAACAGAGAGACGGTAACTCCACAACTCGGCAGTACCCACTACTCCATTTGGCAAAATATTTATTTATAATAAATCCGTTCAAAAGCAGTTGGTCACAAAGAACTCATTTTACATTTTCAGGCTGTAACAATGCTTTTGGTAGAAGTAAATAAACCGTCTCTTCTTACACCGTGTACAAAAACTAAGAGACCTTGAAATGACAGTTACCAATAAACCACATGAAAACAGGAAGAATCAGTAAAACAAAGGCAAAAGCAATAGGAATCTGCCTGCGCACCGGCATCGTTGCCACGACTGTGTACCCGTACGAATCCTCAGCCCCACTTGTTGTTATCCCCAGCACAGCTCTTAACCGCAGGTGTATGCTCCAGGAGAGGAATCTGACGCGATGTAGCAGCTCCAGTCACTCTTTCACAGTACTGCATGTCAACACTGGGAATGGTTTCTGATATGATTTAGACTGCACACAGTACTTGGATAGAAAAAAAAGTTAATTACTCCCACTCCGTAGTTCCTGGTGGCTTTGATGTCAAGTCATACATCACCCGAGAAATGCCAGGAATCTTCTTAATCTCCGCCACCATTTTTAACACGACCTATTGTGGATATTAAAAAAGGAAAAATATCAGAAGAAAGTATATAAAACATGAAAACTGTCTGAAGACAGCCTAAAAAAGAAAAACTTTGTTCACACTAATTCCATTAGGAACAAGAGGGAA